TCAACATGTCTCTTCAAGGGGAGAAATGATTCAAAAATGGGATTTCATAGAACTTTTAAAAATAAATTCACGAGACTTATCCAAAAAAAAAAGTCAGGTCCGGAATTCCCTGAATAAAATAAAATTTCAACGACAATTCATCCGAATTTTTACGCTTAACGACTAATTCGAAAGCTGCCTGATTTTTATGCATTAAATCACGTGCTGGACTTCTAGTTTTTTTTCTCTCATCTCAATGATAATATCTGAAAGTAATCTTGCATATTTAGAAGAGGAATAAATTTGGAATAACAGACCAGTCTTACCAGATTTTTTCTGGCACAAGTTCTCATCGACGTATCGCTTCAAGGGGCGAAATGCTTCATAAATTTCCGCTTCCCGTTTGTGAATCTTCTTCTTTTCCAACAAATTACTGCTTCTTTTCGGGAAGTTCACTGTTGCGGGGTTCGGATCCAGGAACAATTTTCTATACGCATACTGCGATAATTCTAAATTGATTCCCAATGAAGAAGAACAACAACCGTAGAATTGATTGAAATGCAATAATTCCCCAAAAAATCAGCTAAATAATCCTGAATTTTTAAATAGTTTTCATCGGTCTGGAAAAAATGTTTTTGCTTAATTCCATAAACTCTATAATAAGCTATTTTCTTTATTTATTCCAGCAGAGATTTTTCTGAGGGAGTTGCATCTTTAAAAAACATTTTTTATCTTGGGCAAGGGAAACATAGACTAATATCTTGTAAAATACAGTCAATATTCTCATTTAAAAAATATCTGAGGACTAGATAATTATTATTTTTATTTACTTGGGTCGAACAAGGTGCGATCCGCAGTCAGAACCCCGCCAGCAGCGAAACCCGCCGTCAGCACGAGAACCAGAACCCCTCCTCGGAACCCAGCGAATTTCACGCACGAAATCCGATCCATAATCACGCCAAAATATCTTATCCACCCTGTGAAAAAAAAAACCCCGACGAAAAAGTATATCGTTCACGAGGATTTTTTGGGGGGACAAACTCGTTATTTCAAGGATGAAAATGAGAAATCCGTGTGGATGATGTTGAAGCACCATTGAGCAGCAGCAGCTGCTGTGAATACATAATGTCAATAAAACACTTGACAACAATGCGTCGTTTGTTCCGAAAAGTTTCTCCCTTTTTTTTCTGCAGTTCTCAAAAAAAAGAAATTAAATAAAAAATAAAACAGAGCAGTGAGATGAATAAAACGCTTTCCGGCAATGAAGGTCGGGGCCAAAGGAATCAACCAGTTTATTGTTGTGGATCAAAGTTCCAAGTGGTCAACAGGCCGGCTTTTCATCCAAGTCAGAGAAGAATAAGAGGAGGAAAACATGGTTTTCTGCTTGAAAAAAAAAATAAAGATGGCATTTATTTGCTTATGCTGTTCTCATCATCAGTTGGGGGGATTCTGTGATGCTTCACAAATGTTGGATCTTTCCCATGATGCAAAAAAAAAATTGTTCCATCCTCAAATGAATGAGACTGGGTTTTACTTTTTGCATTCATCATCAGTCGTGAATTTGGAAATAAAATTCCATATTTCTCTCACTTGGGAGTGAAATTGAGTGAGATATAATAATTTCGGAGCAATGCAGCAAAATAAACTTCATGCCTTGGAATTTTCTCCGCTAATTTGTTTTTATCAGGGTTATTTATTTGTTTATTCTCACCAGTTGAGGGATGATTCTATACTTTACAAATGTTGGTTCTTTCCCACTCAAAATTTCTTTTCTCTTCAAATAATGAGGAGACTTCGTTTTTCTTCTGCATTTAATCGGTCGTTTTTTCTTCCTTTTGCCATCATATTTTTCGTTTCGCTTTCATCAGTCTTGAACTTGGAAATATTGAATATCCCAACTCGGAGTGAAATCGATTGAACGGTATATTTTAATTTCGGAACAACTCGGTAGAAAAATTCATGACGTCGGTTTCCCTGCTGTTGGATTCATCAGTCTTGAAGTTGGAACATCTGGGAGTGAATTTTTTTGAAATACACTTAATCCAGGGAATGAATGGGTGTTTGCTTACATGTCAGATGTCGAGTTGTATTTCATGGATTGTATTTTATTTTATTTTTGTCATCAATTTGTGCTCTGTTTCATGCTCTGAAGTGATTAAATGTCATTGAGTGGATTTGGGTTGGGTGGGAATAAGGGGGTTTGGTTGTGGAAATCTTGATTGAACTTTGTGAATGCTGAAAAGCGGCAAATAAAGTGTTCTGTTCATTCATTCATTCGTCACTGATTCTGAAACAATTCAGAAAATTAATTTTGTATGGGTTTTTTCCTCCTGCATTCAACAATTCTATCTATTTGCTAATTCTCATCAATATTAGGGGATTCTTGAGACAAATTTGATTTTTTTTTTCTATGCAACAATATTTATACCTTCATATGAAGAGAAATCATCTATTTTATTCTGAATTCGTCAGTTTTAAACTTGGAAATATTTTGCACATCGCATCGCATTAAGATTAGAATTGATTGTGACATAATAATTCCCCAAAAATGAATTTTGGGCAAAGTTTGTCTGCAGTAATTAAAAAAATATGCCAGGATTTTCCCCACTTTGCCCTGGATGCACTGGTATGCTTTTTTTTTTTTTTTTTTTAAAGAAAAGCATCTCTAACTGGCACCAAATTTTGCAGAAAAAGCCCAACTTCTTTGCCAACCGAGGGTTGAAAAATAATGCAAGATATTTGAAGGGTGTTACTGCCAGTGAAGAATATTCATTTGAAAAAAAAAAATTTAGAAGTGCCTATTTCTCTTGGATTTCCGGTGTTTCCTGTTCTTCCTGCGGCGCTTCCTTCTTTGGCTGCTGCACTTCCGGGAACTTTTCTTCCGCTTTTTCTTCTCTTTGCAAGTTAAACAA